CCCCAGGAGCTGATCATCCTCAGCGGCGAACTCGGCGTTGTTGCACGGCGACATGGGGCGTCTGGACGAGGCCTCAAAAGCGTTTCAGCTTCAGTATGACGCGGCGAAAAAGCTGCAGTGGAAGAAGCCATTATGCCGCGCCGTTGGGAACTTGGGCATGACTAATTTCCAGCTCTCACAACAGCGTCATGACGGTCGACTGCTGGACTTGGCCATCGCTCAGTTGAATGAACGTGTCCAGCTGGCGCAACATCTGGGCGAGGTCGCTGCTGACGGTGTGAGCCCGGCAAAGGCAGCTTCTCGTCGACAACTGGCTGTCACCTGGGAGTCTATCGGCCAGTCTCGCCTCTCGCTCTGTTTTGCAGCGCAAGGCAACACACAGGCAGCCGTCGACGCCGCACATGCCGCCCTCAAACTTTCTCACACGCTCGAAGACCCAGCCGTCATGGCTCTCTCGAGGTTTTTCTATGGACGAGCCCTACTTTTCCAGGGCAGGGTGGAAGAGGCCATGGCGCAGTTCAACCTACCGAGCGCCTGCTCGTGTGCCATTGCACTCTGCAAGGAGCCTTCCAGCGACAATTATGAGTACTTGCGCGAGCTTGTAGACGTGGGCGCCAACATGGATCTCGTGGACAACCAAGGCTACACAGCGCTCGATCACTCCGTGTTTAACAGCGATGCAGCCATGGAAGACCTTGTCCTCGAAGGCCTTCGCCGTCAGCTTGGGGACCATCGGCAGCCTGAGTTTGCCAGGCTGCAAGTGGAGGCTAAGCTCCGGAAAGGATACCGCGAGCTCTTCCAAGAGAAATTGAGACCTGTACTACTGTCCAACGGAGGTGAGGCCACCAAATCACTGCGATCACTGCGGCACACATATGACGAGAGCTTGTCCTCAGATGGAGAGAGCGGCCGTATGTTTGACCGTCTCAAAGTTTTGCGATACACTGAGTTCCTCGCCTTTGGAAGACTCCCGCGATCAAACGACGGCCTCGTCTTGCCTCTGGTCTCTCGATCGACCCTCTCCCATCGACGACCAGACGCTGTTGACTTTGTCATCTTCATCTCTTACCGCTGGATCAACACGGAAAAGTCACGCGATTCGCCAGACGATGTGAACAACACGCAATTCGGGCGCATGGTCGCCGCTGTGGAGGCCTTTCTACGGTTGCACCCATCGGTCGAACCCTCGCGCCTCGGGATCTGGCTCGACCACAGCTGTGTGGACCAGGACGACCCGATGCCAGGGGTTTCTGCGCTGCCGATGATCGTGGCCCAGTGCAACGCCGTCATCAGCCTGGTCGATGGACAGTACTACGAGCGCGCCTGGTGCTCGGTAGAGGTGATGATGGTGCAGCAGCTGAGGCGAGCGTATGGGCTCCATCTGTGGTATGAGCACATTGAGACAGAGCGCAGTGCATGGGAGTTGCGCGAGGGTGCGTTGGACATGGAGATCGTTATGGCGGAGAAGAAGCTGACTTTCGAGTCGGATCGGCCCAAGGTGTTATTTCTGGAAAGACAGAGCAAGCTTCTGGGTTAGGCGTAGGACAGCATTCGACGACATTCACGAACTCGTTGTCCGAGTAGTGGTAGAAATAAATGACATGCAGATGATGCGCCCATTCTCTGGTCAGGCCAGCCCAAACATTTCACCTGGCTTGACTAGGCAGCACATCGGAGAGACAACACATTTACTTAACACCCACTGTCACAATATTGATGCCATCGTCCATCGCCAATGACCCATGTTCCTCATCGCCACTCAATAGTGCTCAGCCAGGGCTGTCAGCATTGGCCCCTGCACTCGCGCGACGCCTCCCGCAGGCAGCCAGGATTCTGAAAGGGGCCACGACTTCAGTCACCGCCTGGCGTAGCAGGCAGCAGTACGATACAAAGTGAATGGCATCGCATGCAGCAGGGCGTCAGGTTGTCTGCATCTCTTCTCGCAATACCTCGGCCGTCATACGCCATATTGTTGTTTCCCAACATCAAATTTGGCTGCCGTCGCCATGACCCTCATCCTACGAGCTGGGCCAGCGCCATCCCCACCACCCTCCACCTCATGCCCAACCTCATCCTCACACCCAACCCGGGCACCACCACCACCGCAGCCGACACCACCCCAAGATCCAAGCACGACGCAGGATGACGGCGAAAGCAAGCACCCCCCCTCGCCAGAAGACCCGCCTCCCCCGCCGCCGACGCTGCCAACCCTGCCGCCGGAGCTCCAGTCGCTCATCACAGCACACCTCTCCTACCCGGACGCCCTGTCGCTGAAGCACACGAACCGCCACTTCTTCCAGACGACGGACACGGGCGTCCGCCTCAAAGTCGCCTGGCTCCTCGAGCGCCGCGAACCAGCGCCTCGCGGTGCCCCTCGTGCGGCCGCGGCTGCGACCTCGCCAGCGACCTGCGCTTCTGCCGCGGCGGCGTCGGGCGCGTCATCCCCGGCGGCGCATGCACGGCGAGTGCGAGAGCCGGGCCGGGCTCGGGTGCGTCGTGTTCGGGACGGGGCGGTGCGAGCGGCGGCGGAGACGGGGAGGGCGCCGGTTGTCCTTGGGCGGCATGCGGGTTTGGGCTTTTGTTGTGCCGGTCTTGGCTGTACTCCGGGCGTTTCTGAGAGGCGTGTCCTGCGGTGCGTCGTGACGACTGCGGTGGGGATGACTTAGCTTTGGTTGCATGTACCAGGTGGAATCAAGCGAGGATGTACGTCAGGAGTTTGGGTGGGAGAGCGCAGAGCTCTAGTCAAACTTGGTCGAGGCCATGTGTTCATAATCATTTTCATAAATTTATTCATGGGTTCTGTACACCGGGCCGAAGAAAGGCATGTATGCCATGATTTGTTTGGTCATGTTTCCCTGTCGAGG